TTACTGCCTGCATTGTCTTCTGAGTTATCAGTCTCGCGTGATATCGATGCTCAGAGCGCTGTTTGCCCAGTCAGGGCTTTACGGATGTATATGACTCGCTCCGCCGCTTTTCGTCAATCGGATCAGCTATTTGTATGCTTTGGCGGCGGCAACAAGGGACGTGGAGTTTCGAAACAGAGGCTTGCTCACTGGATTGTGGATGCTATTGCCTTGGCTTATGATTGCCAGGGGGTGGTCTGTCCTCTCAACATTAAGGCTCATTCGACGAGGGCGATCGCCTCTTCGTGGGCCTGGTCCAGAGGTATGTCTATAAGGGACTTGTGTCTTGCTGCTGGCTGGTCTTCTCAGAATACGTTCGCCAGATTTTATAAGTTGGATGTACCTTCTGTTGCGTCTCAAGTGCTTTCGGTGAGTTGAGCCTTCAGGTTGTGCATGAATGCTTGATTTATGTGTTGTGCTTATGCAACTGTCGCCGCTTTGCTGCTGACTTGTATTATACTTGCTATTACTCTGTGTTGTTCTGCCCTGAATGATTCAGTGCAAGACTTCCCTCTATTCATTTGCTTAGTTGGGATATGCAAATTTTGATGAGGTTTAGACAGCGCGCTATTGGCTCGCTTCGCCCTATCAGGAGCTCGTATTTCTAGTAGCGCAGCTATTGGATGAGGGTTCTGTCATTCTCGAGTGGGTGGGTTCTCTGCTCCACGGCGGGATTTGACACAGTTCCCATACTACGTCATCGACGTAAATGTCGAAGTGACCGCCTTGAAAGGGAACGTCTCCGGTTACTTTCGTAACCTCGGTTCCCTGAAAGGCAGGGAACGAGACATTTACGTCGAACGCCGTGTCGCTTGTTCATTCGAGCGTTCAGTCGTATTCTGATGCAATTGACGTGCGTATGCGTTTTATACTGCCAGCAGGCGTGTCAGTATTTGCATATTTTGCGTCAATTGGCCAGCTGTCTCCAGCTGGCGTTAGCCCATAAGATTTCAGCAGAAGTGAAGAAGGGGAGGAGTTCCCATACTACGTCATCGACGTAAATGTCTCGTTCCCTGCCTTTCAGGGAACCGAGGTTACGAAAGTAACCGGAGACGTTTTCTTCTCCTTCTTTGATTTTCTATGCTGACTGACTTGTTGCACGCCGGTCTGTTGTTGTGGGGACATTTCCACGCCCCGAAACGTGACGCTGAACGAAACGAACTGTAATTGGTTGTTTGACATGTCAGTCAAACGGCCTTATGGGCGGGCCTTGGCCAAAGAAAGCTGCTATGAGTTCCAGACCTTCAGCCGTGAGCCGTCAGTCTGAAGGTCTGGCTACGCGAGACTACACAGCAATGCACTTTAGTTGACAGAAAAGAATACCAACTAGTAAATTGATTAGCTTTACGGAGAGATAAAATCTCAAGCACTCAGTCAGTGTGTTCAGCGAGAGAAAATAAATAACCAATATAAGTTGGTTTGACGTTGGAAGTTTGACATTTGTCAGAGATTCATCTCCGAAACACTCAAATTACATCAATAACGATTTGCCATAAGAACGAAAAACTGTTTGTGATCGAAGTGGTTTAAAATGTAGACGGGAACACACAGTGTAGTGTGTTTTAATCGGCTTAACTGTCTCGCAACCTATACATTTTGAAATGTAAAACAACAGATAGGGACCGTCTACAAAGTACAAAACGAAGAGGAAAAACGTTCAATTGTTTCATATGATTTACTCTTTTAAAAAAGGGTGCTCAAACTGTGCACACAAAGCCTTTAAACACACACACTCAATCTCACCTGGTAAAAACACTGTAAATGTTATACATTGGGAAGAATACAATTAGTGATAATGTTATTAAAGACAAAGAGGTTTTATATTTTGAGTAAAAACCTTAATATTCAATCCCAAAATTCAAATAGTGTGTTATATTGTTAAAATAACTAAATAACTGCTTTCAGTTTGTTTAACTGTCATAAGTGATGCAAAACAATGCAACTGAGATTCAGATGTGCAAATAAATTTGTGTAAAATACATATAGACTTTTTTCTTAATATAGAGGGTGTGTGTTGTTGCTGGTTCCAAAGAACATTTTGATGAACATTGTCTTTATTCACAGAATCACAGCACAAGGTAGGTTAATTTGACCAAGCCATAATAATAAAGGCTTTTAAACTTTTTCAGTTGAGAGTGCCTTGGAGTTCTCTTTTTTGATCTTTAATAAATAACGGTTGTTTAAACCAATGAGCATTAAGCTGTGTCGTCAGTAAGTCGTTTCCCATCATGCTTTTGATCAGCGCAGTCGGTGGAGAGCAACTGCGCGCGACTGCAGAATCCGACACGTGCGCCGTGCGGTCGCGAGAGTTTTTTGACATACATCATGACATCAGAGCAAGGCGGACCGCACTCGGACATGCATCTAGCGCTGATCACCGGTGGTCGGTTCTGCCCAGATTTTGCTCATCTCAAACAAGCCTCATGTCTCTAGAATATGAAAGCGGATCTCAAATGAGAGAAAAATAAAGTGAAACATCAGTCAAATCGGACTATGTGCCAAATAATATGAAGTTTATGCAGTTTTGATAATGGCATTTATTCCTGTGAAACAAAAGGCTGATAACTTGCACTTTGTGACTGAAAGAATGTAGATAATAGTTCTGGTGGATGAAGGGCCCCAAAGCTCAGGGGCCTGCCAATACCGCATCAACAGTCGCATCCGTTACTGTAAACCTTTATTTTTGCATGATGCTGCATGCACGCCGTTAGGTGTCAGTATAAGTGTACACTGATCAGCGCAAGATAAACCAAAACTTAAAGGGATGTTTCACCCAAAAATGAAAATTATGTTATTTATTTATTCACCCTCAAGTTGTTTCAAACCATGAATTTATTTGTTCTGCTGAACACAATAGAAGATATTTTGAAGAATATGGGTAACCAAACAGTTCAGGGGCATGACTTCCATAGTGTGGGGGGAAAAAATGGAAGTCAATGGTGCCTCAGAACTGTTTGGTTACAAACATTCTTCAAAAGATCTTCCTGCGTGTGTATATATATATATGTATATATATATCAGCGCAAGATAATATATATATATATATATATATTATTAAATAACGGTTGTTTAAACCAATGAGCATTAAGCTGTGTCGTCAGTAAGTCTTATATATATATATATATATATATATATATATATATATATATATATATATATATATATATATATATATATATATATATTATATATATATATATATATATAAGATGTTCCTCAACTGTCTTTATTTACAGATTTATTTATTGTGTTTCCTAGAGCGGGCAGTTTGCATGATCAACAACATTGGCATTACATATCTCTTTCATGGCACATGCCACTTGGATACTGATGGGCCACACAATTAATGTTTAATTGACATTTATTTTAAAATATCAGTATTTTTTTGTCACAATTACTTCAGTATAGCTGCTCAGTACATCTGTCAGTCACTATACCGGAGTCACTATAATGGAGACTCGGTGTCAGTGTTCTGCGATAATGTCAGTGGCACATGCCACAAGTTTTAAGCGACACATGCAACTATCCAGTGACATTGATACATGCCTGAAGACCGGATGTGCCAATAAGCATGCATCAGATGCATGTTACTTAATGTTAATACCGCCTCTCTCTAAAACCATAGTAGATTAATATAAAATCTCTTTCAAATGGTGTTAAGAAGCCTTCACAATCTTTTCAGAATTGTTTTCTTTTCTAATGCTTTACATTGGTGACTAATATATTTTTCCATAGTTCTGTTAACTTATTTATTAACTTATGGCATTTTGGTGGAAAATAGGCTATGGTTAACAAACATAATATGGCATAAGAAACCATGATTTATTTAATCTGCCTGCAAATTGATATTACATTATTAAAATAATTAAATGTGTATTATTATAAAAATACTCTCAACCAGAATGCCACATTCATACAGTGGGCGAAAAACAGATTGATGCTCATTCATAATTTATCTCTCTTTAAAGAGAATTTAGAGAGAATGTTTTTGGGACAGTGCTGTATAAGGCAAAGGCAGCTAACCAATTTGAGTTTATTCATCTGCTTGGTTTAGATATGGGTCAAAACTGAGAAAGCAACTTCACACAAGTAAGTAGATCCACAGGATAAAAAGCCAACTGTGTCAATGTTTTCTATCATCTATCAGCATGTTTCATCTTTATCTCACAAGCAGAAAGGCTGGAACCCCTCTCAATCCTAATCACATTAACTAAAGTGTCTCCTTCCTTTATGATTGTTTTAGTGATTTGATTTGTTTTGTTTATTCATTGGATATGTTCCTCAATCAACTGGACTTCATTTATTTTGGTGAACACATCATCACGATTCCCTTCAGATGCATCTCATCAATCATATCCTTTCAGCATATCACTCTTGCCCTGTCTATACACACAATAGCTATTCTGATTGTCTATCTTGATTGTCATTATCACATAAAAAAAAGACAGTTCTTTGTTTATTCTGCTTTTTACATTTTATCCATCTATTTGGCTAGCAATAGGCTATATATGGCAGATTGAATTATTGAATGATAGAGTTGTTTTGATTGCATTGGTTGCTGCCCTATCAAAAAATGTTTTTCACCAACACTACAGTAGGTGTCAGAATTTGTTCCCTATAGGTATTGGAATCAGATCTTGACCAAACTTGTCTTTTCTTTGGAAAATTATCAGTCTTACCATCATAGTGTAGGTGGGATCATGTTTGGTGGTTAAATGCCGCAAGTTTTATGGAGCGGTTTGTCTGTCTGTCATGCGTTAAAAACAGTATTAATAGTATTAACTTAATAATATTAAATACGTTAAAAATGAAAATATGACTGAATAAATAATTACACTAATCAAAAAAACTTCTAATTTCCAAAAAAAAAAAAAAAATGTGTAAGGGGCTTTTATTTTGAAGTGTTAGTGTGCTACGCCTTCTCGCTGTTGTTTTCTGTTTCTCTCAATGCTCACGTGACGTGTGACAACGTTCTTCAGAATGATTCAAGTTTTCGCTGAATCAACGCCACCAATGGACTTTAGACTGCGCGTCAAACGGTGATGAATGACTCTGAACACTAGTCTGCTTCTAACAGCTAAAATGGGAATATTATCTAGATGCCTGAATGCGTTTTCGAGATATGTGTTGTGCAGCTTCAGACAGTTTTCAGTCAAGTTAACTTGACTTTAAAGTGCATGTCAATGTAAAGAACTGCCCTTCAATGAACTCTCGTCGTCTTTTAATTTGCGCAAGCTGCTCAATCGCTAATAATGTCACTTGTGGAGTCTGATGAAAACACTCCGCTTCTCAGAGGCGATATTACAAGGTAGGTTGTGTGATAATTGCATTTGTAATGACGCAGTCTGGCAGGACTGATCTTGTTTTCTTTTATTAATATTCTGACATTATGTCTAAACTGAAACTATTTGGCTCGACCAGTTAAACTTGATGATAATGTTGCCTGTGTGTCATGTCACAATGGAATTTCTGTTACTGATGCACAGCATGATGATGTGTTCAAATTATATGAAGTCACGTCAGAGTGAAACTTTAGTAGTGCAGTGAAGATATGCATAATACTGTATCTTGCATGAGCTGTCGTCCTCCTAATGCATGCAATTATTGTGACTAAATAGGCTAAACATCTTAAGTGTAACGTTAAACAATCAAGAAAGAGCTATAATTGTTAAGTCCAACTTCTCCTTTCCTCTTAAAGTGATGGGGATGCAGACAGAAACAGATGGAGGTCCATCAGGGTCATGTACTTTACCATGTTCCTCAGCAGTGTTGGTAAGAAAACAACTCTCTTACACTCACTTTATAAATCCCAGTCAGATTGTGCGCACATGCGTCTCCTCCCCGAAATAACCATATATGGAGATTACAACGCCTAGTTTTACTATGCTTATCCTCATCTGCATATCACTTATGATTATTCATCCGCGTGATACCATGATTAACGGTAGGCTACAAGACATTAGAAAAATATGAAATACGGATGTGCCGTCATTACATTAATAAAAATAATTTAGTAGCCCATCCTTGCCTTGTTTTTGAATAAATAAATCAAATAGTGTAAAATACATTTCAGAGAAAGGTTTTCTCAATCTTTTCCACTGGCCAAATAGTATTTTTAATTGATTTATATTTTTAATGGAAACAGACCGTGTTGTGCATTATTTGCATGAAACTATTTTCTCAGACAATCTGCTATCATGATAAGCAATTATCTCTGTAGTTAAAACATTAAAACACAGCATGCCAGAGGGAAAGTGTTCAAAAGCATTGCATCCACAACAAATATTTCTATTTATTGAATATAAAAAATGTTGTAACTTCTCAGTAATGATTTTGTGTAGTTTAAGTGTTTAACTTCATTAATGAGAATGGCATATTTAATCTAAATGTTTATATCAGAAGTAAAACATAGTTTAAATCATTATTTTATTTATTTAAACTGTTATTGTGAACATGCACTGTATTTTTGATTAGGACTCATAGTGAAGATTTAGATTTACAAAGTTTAAGTTTTACTTCATCTGCTGTTAGATAGTATATGCGTGAGTTTCACTAAACGGCCCAACACGCTCGCTGGCGCGGACATTTAAGAAGGGATGGATATTGGTTTCAAGTGATAGGCTTGGTGAGTGAAATTATATTTGTATTATCTTTCTGTATGTATAAATTTCTTTTGATTTTCTGTCTAAAAGTGGCCATAAAGACATTTAACTCCAGCTCACCATCGGTGTCGCCAAACTGGTCCGTCTCCAAAACGTTCGTACGCATGGGTCAGAGTTTGCGTGCAGGTGTGCAAATTTTTTATAAATCACAACTTATGCGTCGGAAGTGGCGTACGCCTCTTTCAGGGCCTGTTTTGTGCGTACGCAAAAATAAGGCCCCAGATCAGTTAACGCTGCTGTGCGGTTATGAATATGAATTCTGCTGTCGGTTTCAATGAACATAGGTACCGATTCAATTTAGAGCTGAAAACCTGCTCTCACAAGATGTGTCTGTTATGTCAGGACATGTTGCGTTTAATTGTACACTATGCCTTAAAAAAAAAAAAAAAAGTGTAACTAGAAGGGATCTGTCTGTACACATTTTGCACTTGCAATTATAATGTCCTATTTAGTAGATACATGAATGTTATTCACATCGTTTGTGTAGTACAAAGTACTACTTAAGTGACACGTAATATATAAGTGATTGCAATGTTATTTTTTTTTAGGTTTTACGATTGTCATCACTTCCATATGGCCCTATCTGAAGAAAGTAAGTACCGGTATACTTGCATTTACACATTCAATGTACACATTGTACTCAAGCTATACATTTTATAAGTTCATGCATTACTTGGGAATCAAACCCATGCCTTTGGTGTTTCTAGAAACTTCTGTTTGATTTACAGGAACAAAGTATATTCTATGCAGTTGCGATTTGAGTGAAGTGAACATTCATTAGCATGGGAATTCTATAATTTTTCTCTGTACAATATTTGATTCCTTGAGCTATGCTTGATTTAAAAACTAGAAGTGAAAAGGGGAAGTAGTTATATATGCATTTCTAAGAAATGCCAAAGAATCAACTAAAACCTGTTTGAATATTTAAATCTAGCGATTCCCCTGAGAAAGTTAAATATTTTCTAAAACAATCTGTTGAGGTTTAAATTCTGTAATTGAATATACGTATATAGGACATGTGTTCCTCTTTTCAAATGTGTCCTTACTCCTTTGTGTAGACTTTGCAGAAGTGTGAACACTTAGAGCTAGGGTTATTCAGGGTACATTTCTTAAAAAAAATTTAATTTAATTTAAAGCACAAGTTCGTAGATTTTCAACCTGCTTTATATTGTTACAATATCAGTAGTATATGTAAATGAACAATTTTTACTCTTTATTTTGTTTGTTACCTGTTGTCAGCAAAAGATGCAAAGCGTGTCTTTAGCTGCTCCTTACAATGCTCTGGATCTTTCACTGAAAACTGAAAATGACTCTTTCCTGCCAAACGTTTACTTCTTGAATTGTCGCACCTGTTAACAATACAAATACAAAGTTGAGAAGTATTATGTAAGCACACAAGGTGAAACAATTTAACATCAGTTAGGCACAAAGTTTTTTGTGCTTGCTTGGTTGCCTGAAGGCCGCAGTGCAAATGTTATTGTTGTGCTGTATAGATGCAATTTGGGTAGTTTTATTCAGTTACACACAGTAAGCCTTGTTAGTCTGTTACTGTCTTGTAAGTCCATCAATCATGATGTGTGTGTTTTTAAATTATTTTTTTTTAGATTGATGACAGTGCAGATGCCAGTTTCTTGGGATGGCTGGTTGCTGCCTATAGTTTGGGTCAGATGGTGGCCTCACCCCTCTTTGGATTATGGTCCAATCACAGGCCTCGGCGAGAGCCTCTAGTCTGCTCTATATTGATCAACATCTCTGCTAACATTTACTACGCCTATGTCTACCTACTTCCCTCACACAACAAAATTCACATGCTTTTGTCCCGCACATTTGTGGGCATTGGAGCAGGTAAATAAATAAATAAAACACACACGCACACACATAGTACCTGTCAAAAGTTTTGAAACATTACAATTTTTTAATTTTTGAAAGAAGTAGTCTCTTCTTTATTTAACCAAAAATACAGTAGAAACAGTAATTTTGTGAAATATTATTTCAAATTAAAAGAACTGTTTTCTATTTGAATATATTTTAAAATGTATTTTATTCCTGTGATGGCAAGCTGAATTTTCAGCATCATTACTCCAGTCTGCAGTGTCACATGATCCTTCAGAAATCATTCTAATATGCTGATTTGGTGCTTAAGAAACATTTCTTATTACTATCAATGTTGAAAACAGTTGTGCTGCTTACATTTTTGTGGAAATAGTGATGCTGTTTCAGGATTCTTTGATAAATAGAAAGTATTATCAATTTTTATATATAAATCTTGTAACATTATAAATGTCACTTTTGATCAAATATATTGCATCCTTGATGAATAAAAGTATTAATTTCTCTCTTTAAAAAAAATATCTTACCACAAATGTTTAAAAATAGAAAACAATTATTTAAAATTTTAATAATAATTCTGTATTTTTTATTAAATAAATGCAGCATGGAGCATAAGAGACTTCTTTAAAAAAAAACATTTTAAATAAATAAATTTCAATTGAATATAATGTTAATATAGCAAATACAAATTCAGTAAACAATTATTATCAAGCATAAGCTAAAATACTTAATTTATTTGCAGTGCTAAGGTCTGTCGTTCTGTCCTGTAGGTAATGTAGCAGTTGTGAGGTCTTATGTGGCTGGTGCCACTTCCCTGACGGAGAGAACCAGTGCAATGGCTAACATGAGCGCCTGTCAAGCTCTCGGCTTTATACTTGGCCCAGGTTTGTGTGAAGTCAAAAGCATTTTACTTACAGATGGCATTTGGTGTGAAATTGGTCTATAAGAATAGTAATTAGTTTGATAGTGTCTTTATTTGATACCTTCTTAGGGCTAGTTACCATTAAAAAATGATTAAAAGATGTTGACTGCCTTTGTTTTTCAGCTCTGCAGGCTGCTTTGTCATTCATCGGAGAGACTGGCGTCAATGTGAGATTTATCCAGCTTCAGGTTAATATGTACACTGCTCCAGCACTGTTGGCGGCCTGCTTCGGGGTCATTAACATTCTACTGGTTATATTAGTCTTGAGGTAATGATATAACCTGAGTCTTAAATACATGTATTTTGTATATATTTTATTTATTTGTATTTTCTCTTCAGTTCTTCTATATTTAACCTTAGCACCGTGTTTACACCATACGCGTCACATTGTGCTGCAAAAGCAAGAAGCTGTACACTAGATGCGACAAAGCGATCATTGCAAATCCATTTGTCCTTCCTGTGAGAAGTATTGCGAGTGCTTGCCTTGGAGTATCATAAATAGAACGAGGCATCAGTTCACTGTCGGGGATTTGTCATGTTGTGTCGTGCCGCATCCAGTGTAGACAACATCACTGATTGTCCTTTGTCGTGTCGCGCCACTCGCGTCTGTTGTAGACATGGTGTCAGGCATACATCCTATTTGACTGTACTTGAATAAAGCAATGCATGGAATTTAAAGTGTTTTCAATTATTTAGGGAGCACTGTGTGGATGACCATGGAAATCATATCCCTGCAATTAACTACACCCCAGAAGGTAAGAGATTTATTTTCTGATGTAAATGTATTTATAAATATACTTTAGCAGTGTACAGTTGCTTTAGCACGGTGTCCCTGTGCAGCCTGTTTTATAATAATTCATGTAATTATAACATTTTATATTGTACTTTGTCCTTCTGCCCTCAGATCGAGTAGAAGTGACTCCTGAGGTAGAAGGTGATATCGACCAGTTTGCAGTGTTAACATCTAACGTCCTTTTCTTTGTTATTCTCTTCATTTTTGCTGTGTTCGAAACGTAAGTGTAATTCCTCAGATCTTGACTCATATTTAAAGTCTAATCAGCTCATATTCATGTGAATTTGTTTGCCTGCAGTATATCTACTCCTCTATCAATGGACATGTTTGCATGGACAAGAAAAGAAGCCGTTTTGTATAACGGCATCATATTGGCTGCTATCGGCTTTGAGTCCATCCTCGTCTTCCTGGTGGTAAAGGTGGTTTCAAAAAGGTAAAAAAAAAAACTTTTTGAATAGCTTTATGCTAATTTGATTTCGGTTATTAGACTTTTCTATTTGTCATAGCTGTTTTGAAGAACCTTGAACAATCAGACATGCTTTTTTTACTTCAGTTTGACACAGCATCTACAGAGGTTTAGGTCACTTCTCTTCTATTGTGAAAAGGGAAATGTTCCAAATGCCTGAGTATTTTGCAGAATCACAGTGTAGGTTTTGCATATAACTACTCATAATGGGACTGTACATTACTTACAGTTTTGTTGTGACTGTTTGTTTTAAAGTCTTACAACAGGTCAGGTCAGGAAAACTTTGTCAGTTGCATATTTTTTCTGCTGTACCCAACAAATATATATTGGATGCTAACAGTTTTGAACACATGACTTCCTCTTGTTGCACTTGCAAGCTGACTAATCAGATCTCAGATCAAATCAGTTCTTTTTTTTTGGCTGTGTTTTTCAGGGTAGGAGATCGGCCACTGCTGCTTGGAGGCTTGGTGCTCATATTTGTAGGGTTCTTTATCTTGTTGCCATGGGGAAATCAATATCCTAAAATACAGTGGACAGGTGAGGTATCCGATAATAAGAACGATAACTATAAGCATAACTATAAAGATAACTATATTAGCATCCACACCAGCGGAAGATATTGTTCTGTTTATTCTAAGTGCGTGCTTGTCTGCCGCTCGAAATGCTTGAGCTGATTGTCAATGTTTTTATTATTCATCAGTTGGAAAAAGTCATTCTGAAAGTGATTCCAGTAATATCGTTTTCTCGTGCCGTTATCATATAGCTGTGGTGTGAACTCTGCTATTCTTTAATATGGAGAATGATTTTTAGAACTATATCTTTATTGTTATGGTCCTTGGCGTGAACGAGTCGTAACTCTGTAAAGCTTGTTTCCAAAAGCAAATAATTATCTTTTTTATTATTAAAATAGCAATATACTATTTAAAAGCTTGGAGTCAGTGCATTTTTTTTTTAAAGAATGAAATTATTTTACTCGCCAAGGATGCATTAAATAGATAAAGTATTAGTGTATCAAATGTATCACGGTTTCCACTAAAACATTAAGCAGCTCAACTGTTTTCAACATTGATCATTTTAATAATTAATGTGTATCAGAATGATTTCTGAATGATCATGTGACACTGAATACTGGAGTAATGATGCTGAAAATTCAGCTTTGGAATTTATATTAAAATAGAAAACATTTAGGGGTTAAGTTAATTGGGTTATTACATTGTACTGTCACTGTTTTTACTCTATTTTTGATCAAATCAATGTAGCCTTAACAAGCAGACAAAACGTCTTTCAAAAACATTAAAACAATCTTCAAAACCTTTGAACGGTAGTGTATATTACAGCTGAAATTTATGTGTATATTTTAGTGTATATTAACCAAATATTATGCCATAAACAGGCGTTCAGAATAACACTATGCCAACAATAAGACTGGCACCCACCCAAGCCTCGAACGCTTCTCTGGAGCCCACCGGATGTCCGTCCGAACAGACCTGGTGCTTTTTTACCCCTGTAATTCATCTCGCACAGTACATCACCTCTGACATCCTGATCGGAGTGGGCTATCCGACCTGCAACGTAATGTCCTACACTCTATACTCAAAGATACTGGGCCCCAAACCGCAGGTACAATACATTCTCTTTTAAAACACTGAATCTCAAACTAAAGTAACATGATGATTAATCAAAGTTCATGCTATTTATTCTCTTCCCCAATTGTGTGTGAACTCAGGGGGTTTACATGGGCTGGCTGACAGCATCAGGAAGTGGTGCGCGGACTCTCGGGCCTGTGTTCGTCTCTCACGTCTACACCCTCCTGGGACCCCGATGGGCCTTCAGTGTCATATGTGGCATAGTACTAGCTGCAGTCGTTCTCCTCAGTGCTATGTACAAACGACTCATCGCCTTCTCCATACGCCATAGAAGAACAATATTGTGACTGACATGTGCCTCCACCAACTACTAAAGGACAGTTCAGTAAAGATGGAAAACAGCCACTTGTACACCTGTGAATGGTATTTTTTAGACAAATGTGGAGCTTTCATAATCATGAATCATCGTCTTCCATGTAAATGTAAATATTTTTACTTTATATCCCCTATATATTAAACTACACCTCCCATTGTTACCTTAACTGTGAATTTAACTACTATTGGAGCAGTATTGACAGTGGCAGTATCTAAACAAGCCCGTGTGAACCGCCGTATTAAACATGTTTGGCAGCTCCACCAGTTATGAAGTATTGCAGATTATAATGCCTATGTGGTTGTTTAATCTAAATCTTTATGGATTATGATTGTTTTGGTTTTAATTCTTTAAAATAACTTGAATTCTTGGCGTTGTAAAACGTTAACAAATGTGACAGCTGATTTATTTCAATTTACACTGATATGAAAGGCTTGAAGTTTCTTTCTAAAACACTAAGCTTATAACGTACACTAGATTCTGAGCATTACTTGACTTTGGGCGAATCCTGAAGATTAGCAATCAATTTATAACAAGACCACTTTATTTGAAATTCACACCAAATGCTTTGTTTTGATGTGTCTTGAAAATTGGCAATAAATTGTTCATTTTAATGTGTTTAAAAACATGAAGTATGATTTTCTGGGATTTGTTTCTTTAAATGCATTAAAACATTTTTTTTTTTATGCATTAATTTATTTAAAAAAAAGAAAAAAGGTTTTTCCTTTTGAAAAGTACAGAAATGACATCCATTTCAATAATGCAGTAATTGTATTCAAATGTTTTATCCACCGATCGTCACTGTTTGAGCTACATAAGCAGGAACAAAGCTTCTTTGAACCGTTACTCCAGACCGTTGATAAGGTTTGTTCACAACGAGTTCATTGAACTGGGAACATTCTAGTGTAGGATAAGCTTGTGACAAGGACAAGATGCATAAATAAAACAGCAAAAAGACAACGGTGGCTGTACATACACAATAACCTTCCTGCATACATGTAGGTTTAACACCAGTCATCGTTTCACACTTTGTGATCTCACAGTATGTACTTGTGATGCAATTCTCAGCAGCCACAAAACCATCGTTCCCATAATACACTGCGTGTGAGATCATTTAACTGTTCTTTTCCATTTGTTCTTAGCTGTGGATTTGCCAGTAATGTGTTTAGACAGGCCTTGAGCTCCACGGCCACCAGGCACAGGCATTCTGTTGACAGAACATGTGTAAGAGAATCATATAATTATGTTAAAAGACTTAAAGAACCAGTTTGTATTAGTACTGAAATTATCATATTAAAGAGTCTTGTTACTACAGTATCATCAGTGCAGCACTGCGACTGATGATCTGAATATCTGGAGAACATTAATAATGTTTATAAGCCATTGTCAGTATTAGTACAGATACGTTTCTGACGTCACAAGCTACTTTGTAACCAATCAAACTAAATTCAGCTGATATGAGTGAGTGGATGCGGGGCTAATTTGCCAATTCTGTGTATACTAAACTAAATGCAACAAGGGTGTAGAGTTACATTTAAGCTATTAAGGCATGAATCATTTTTTTTCACAGGAAAAAACTTTAAATATGCAATTTTGGTGATCAAAGATGAGTTTTAAGGGATACAATTATTGACTTATTATTGGGGACTTTAAATTAAGAGGCGTATTTATAGATATTTAAAATTCGTTTCGATTTTTCTGTTTTAAAAAAAGTTCTGTTTTTAGTTTTTTAAAAATATATCTGTATAGTTTTTATTAATTTTTATTTCATATGTAGTTATTTTAGTACAAGCTAAACTTAATGAAAATGAGAAATGTTCTAAAAATAAGTTTGTTTTTTAAATATTTTATTTCAAATAATAAAAAATGTAATTTAATGGTTTTAGTTAACTATAATAATCTTAGTTTATACTCACCGTTTATTGTGTTTCTTAGGGCAGGCTCTAAGTTTGTGTTTTTGGCTGCCACAATTGAAACAGCCAGTTTGGCTCTGACCACAAGGGTGATCAGGGAGAGCACAGTGACCACATGAAGAACAATGGTGCCATGCTGGAGAGAGAAAGAAAGCAGAAAAAAAACGTGGTGAGAGCCAGAAATAAACATTAGGAGACATCAGTTCAAGTGAATTCAAATTTGCTTACAAGGCTTCACACACCGCCCACATTCATCACAGTGCCTCCACTCTCGGCCATCCTGAGAGATAAATAGGGAAATGTCAATAATCTACTCCTATTCCATATACTGAATTAGACATCAGCATTTACCTTTGATGGGCATGCATCACACTTAGGGCAGTGTTTGTTTCCTGCTGACACAAACCTCTCACAAACACTGCAAAATCTGCAAAGGATTGAAAAATATTAATGGTAAAATTCAAACCACCTCAATCAATACATTTAATACAGCATTTACAGCAAGTTACATATTTTTTTTAGAAATCAAATGAACGATTAAGTGCATGTTTAACCCACATAATGCATTCAAAATCTGCATACGAAATCAGTTTGGACACTGTGGAATGTAAGCTTATACAACAGTAATAACATAATATTTTTAATTAAAACAACATTGTACCTGATCATAAACTTCTCAAAGTTTTGAATTGAACATTTACCCTGTTTTTGTTCATTAAAATGTTACATGAACTATGGAAAAACACCTTTACCCAATATTCCTGAGAAACTTTATTTGAATATATCATTATATGAAATAGACAAGAACATTACAATTCAACATCAATATTACACTGGAGTGTTGTTAAATATTTATTTTACTATTTTTCCACATAAACAAACTTTCAGAAGAAAAATAATTGTTTCATGCTGCCATGGTTTATCAATAGACGTGCATGCATATTCATGCTTATCAACAAATTTCAGTCACGCAAGTGTGTACGATATGGGTAATTGGTGCATTTTTTTCAAAACTATGTATCTCTTTCGGGACAAAACAAACCCTGAATGCATTATGAAGAAGAGATGTGTTTTATGTGCACCTGTAACCTTCATCCTCTGGTAGAATAATATCTTTAGGGCTCAGATTGGTGAAAAGTCGAACAGGTGACTGCTTACGGCCCTTCTTTCCGTGTTTATACAGAGGATGATTATCATAATCGACCTGAGATTGAAGAACAACACTTGACCACCACACCCCGTAAACGAGTCATTATATTAATTAATGTTTGTATAACATGATATTCCTATAATACCTGGTAATCCAGCATAGAAAAGGAGGGAAAACACTCAAGGATACGGGGCTCAAAGAAATATGGGAAGATCCAGATCATTGGCATCTCAGCTGCATCGCTCACTAAAAATGATTAAAACAGGTAAGAATGATAACAGACTATGTCTCTGAGTCAACTCTCTAGGACATTTAATCATCCTCATGCCATTCCAAACCTGTATGACTTTATTTTTTTTCTTGGAATGCAAATAAAGAAATTACAACAAATTGTGCTGGTTGATTATTTCTCCATGTAACTACAATTTACATTTATGCCTTTGACAGAAAAAAACAGATAGGAATGGAAATAGACTGTTTCTGAGACTTTTTTTTAAATATTTACTCACCCCTCATTCCAAAGCAAACATGTATGACTTGAGTTAAGTACTCCCATGGATCATAAAATTAGAAATTATGGTGAATTGGGTTGGTCGCTTCTTTTACATGTAATTACCAAACTTCAAAAAGGATGCAAAAGTACCATAAAAGCAAGCAATTTTAAAGTGGTCCATATCGTCTGAAGCCATATGATTGTGTGAGGAAAAAGACAGACCAGCAGAATTCTACTTTTATCTTCCATTAAAAGGGATAGTTCACCCAAAATATTAATATAGGTAACCAGACAGTTGACGGCAGCCATTGAAAAAAAAAAAATACTATGGAAGTCAATGTGTGCCGTCAACTGTCTGGTTACCAACATTCTTTAAAATATCTTCTTTTGTGTTCAAGAAAAGTGAGTAAAGCATACATATAGTAATGCGTTATATTTGAAAGTAAAACATGCACACAAGTTGTTGCAAAAACAAGTAAAACATGCAAAAGTTGTTGCAAAAAAAAAATGTAGTTGCTTATACCTTTATTATGCTTTTTCCAGGTCATCGACATCTGAGAGAAACTGTTGGCTAGTGGCTTCACTAGGCCTCCAAAAGGGGGGTCTGTTACCATGACTACCTTGGCTCCTCCCTCCTCACGCAGAAAGCCTTGAAAAAACGTGACCGCTTCCTGCAAAGTAGCATATCATGATTTTTCAGTTTGCACAAGAGGGACCACATTTGACGTCAAAGGAGGTTCGGTTTTTACCTCATCATCAAAGAAGTGATGGTTGAACATGTTATAGTGGCAGAACTCATCCTGACCAAAAAACTGGCAGTACCTAAGAGGTCCAAAAAAAAGAGGTTGATAACTGCAAAATGCATGCAATGCGCTAAATAAATACAAGTGTCAACATGCATTTAACAGCTAAATAAAACCCACAATCTGCAGTTGCAGTATTTCCAAACCCTGCAGGTCAACAAGTCTGGAACTGAGAAGACGGTTCTAAAACAAAGTAAAAGTGTGTGCGCCGCAAACACATACGCATATGCTGCAGGCTTTGGCATGTTGAAAGGGGCTGCACACCTTTTTCAACACATTCCACAGATGAACATAGAAGTGCTTGCAGGAGAACAACCACCAAACACATTCACTTCTCTTATCAATTTCTTAGGTAAGTTGTTTTATTGCATTATTTTATTGCGTAATATAATTCCAGTGACATGCAGCACTAAGAGCACAACTGATTTACATCTTCATAAAGATAAAACTTTTTATAGCACTGTAAGAACGTTTAACTTGATAGTGGGTCCATGTTAATACACATAGCATATGTGCAGGCTGCTGAAAAGTTAAGTATGCTTAGTATTTCTTTGCTTTAAGGTATGCAAATATAAATGCACTTTTGGCATCCGGTTATTTTCTAGTAAAGGCTAGTTGCGATTTTTTTGTGCATTAACAAGAAGCAAGAACGAAGCAGCTGCATGTCTTCTGAGAAAATCAGCTAATATAGAACTTTTTGTATTTGCATTTCATGCATTAGATACTACAACCGTACATACTGACAAAATTGTGATAATTAAAAACTACTAATGTGAATGTGATGTTTCCTAAATGAGCTGCATATCAACTCCCATTATGCTCAGAGAACTTGGGAGAGATGGCAGAGGAAGACTTCAGGCCTCTATCAGAGGAAACCAGTTCCTTCTGTCTGGCTACCGAGGCTCGTTCAGGGCCACAAGTCACTCAGCCCTTCCCACGCTCTCCAAAACTGATCAGGAGAACTGGAGCCATCTCCCCAAAACCCTCAGAGGTAATGATAGATTTGAACTGCCAAACTAAATTAATAAGCTGATAATGAAGTCGGGCAACCTACATGAGACAATCTACAAGGACAACATAAGAATGTAGTTATGCTAGAAATAAAGGAGCTTAGTTTAAGGTTGAACATAAGTTCATGGGCTGGAAACATGAAGAACCACTTACAAGACATACACTACTGTTCAAAATTTGGGGGCAGTATACAACTCTATTTTGAATATATTTTAAAATGCAATTTATTCCTGTGATGGAATTTAGTCACATGATCTTTCATAAATAATTCTAATATGCTGATTTGGTGCTCATGAAACATTTCTAATTGTTATCAGTGTTGATAAAATGTACACTGCTTAATATTTTTGTGGAAACAGTGATGCATATCTTTTCAGGATTCTTTGATGAATAGAATGTTTAAAAGAACAGCATTTTTTGAGATAGAAATCTTTTGCAACAATAAAAATGTTTTTACTGTCACGATTTAATGCTTACTTGCTAAATAAACGTTAATTCCAGAAATAAAAAATCGTACTTTTGAACGATAGTGTGTACAGTAATAAAAAAATCATTTTAAAACAAACAAATGGTCATACTTTGATTAGGGTCCATTTCTCACTATTAACTAACTATTAACTACAACTTTTACCTCAATAAACTCCTAATTACTGCTTATTAATAGTTAGTAAGGTAGTTGTTAAGTTTAGGTATCGTGTAGTATTAGGGATCTAGGATATGATCATGCAGAATATGTGCTTTATAAGTACTAATAAACAGCCAATATCCTAGAAATATGCATGCTAATAAGCAACTGGTTAATAGTGAGAATTGGATCCTAAACTAAAGTGTTACCAAAAATGTGTAAACAGCTACCAGTCTTGTTGGAGGACTTAAAGAAGGAGAAGAAAAGAACAGAGTCTCATCTGGAATCTATTAAAAAGAGGCAAGCCAACCTTAATGTAAGTGAAATTCTATTTTTAGAATTTGATTTGACCTTGAAAAATACATGACTGGTGGTTGAAGGAGATGGTTTGGTGACACCAGCCAAATAAGGAAGTTGTTTCAGAGGCAGGGGAGGTTTTTACATTTTGATTTAAAGATTTTGAAGACAATATTTTTATCTCTCCAAAGAATTATTTAAAATAATATCAGAAAAGTAGATAGGGCTGAATGTCTACCTGAATGTGATAAAGCCTCAGCTACTATAAATGTTAAATAACTGATGAATCCCTACATCTCTGCTGAAGACGAGTTCAGAGGCGATGAAGCAGCAGGTACAGGAGTGTTATGAAGAGCTACATATGGCTCTGAAGGAGGATGAACAGGCTGTTCTGGACATGATAGAGCAAGACCGCCGGGAGACCAGCAGTAAACTAAACCGAATTCTTCAAGACTGGAATCAACACCTTGGTCTCCTGCAGAAACACATCAGCGCTATGCAGTCAGCTCAACAGAGCCCTGCAGAGACCATGAAGCAGGTAACAGTCAAAGACGAAACATGCATTTCATGTTGTTGTAATAATCTTGTTGAAAAAAAGCAGGGATCACTTATATTGTCTTCTGCATGTTCTCTGCTTTCAGTCGTTTCCTGAGGATTTTACGTAAGGCCATCTTTTTCCATTACATGAATGGCAGATTTTGTGACAGTTCCTTAATAGAAATATACTGTATATTGACAACCTAATTGTATGTCAAAACAATAATGCCTTCCATGTTCTTTTCAATAGCAAACATGCTGTACATTACAATATACGTAATGCAACATCTACTATGAATGCAATTAACTATATAATTCAAACGCATCTTCCGGCTAGATTGACTAGCTGTCGTAAGAAAATGGACCCAGCTGAAGAGGAGATCAAAATGAATGAGGAGAGGATCCAGAAGCTCAAGAAAGTTCTCAGGAACATCTCAAAAGATCTGAAAGCCCAGCTACAACGAAAGAGCCTGCTGCTGGGTACAAAACACTCTCAGTCCATAAAACCCATCATTTTGTTGTACTGAAAAAACTCATGCAAAATATATTTTGGATATATACTGTATATATTTAAACTATATTATACATTTATAAATAAAAGTTTATGCAGAAATAAACATTTATATATACTACCATTCAAAAGTTTGAGGTTGGTCTTAAGTTTAAAAAAGTTAATACTTTTATTAAGAATGGATGCATCAACTTAAACAAAAGTGACATTAAAACAAAAACTTTTATAATGTTACACAATCTATTCTTAAACTATTCATCAAAGAATCCTGATAAATAAATGTCATGACTTCCACAAAAATATTATGCAGCACAATTAAGTTTTGCCATCACAGGAATACATTTTAAAATATATTAAAATAGAAAAGTTATTTTAAATTGTTATAATATTCTATTTAAATAATACATATTTTAATTTTAATTTGATCAAATAAATGCAACCTTGGTGAACGTAGAGAAAAAAATCGTATCGACTTCAAACTGTTGAACAGTACAATTTTAAAAATATAAAAATATTTATAATTTATATGTTTGCTTATACTTTTTATAAATACTAAGTAATATAGTATACAGTATTATTGTAAGGATTAGCTAATATGTAACCAGAAATGCTCAGAATACTTAATTGAACCATGCTGTGGGTAAATCAGCTGTTTATGAATATTCTTGCATTTCATCTCGACAGACTCCTCTAATGTGGCGATTGACAAACTGACCTGTCACAAACAGATCAAGGTGACCTCAGAAGGACGGGGCCTGTCCCTTTCCACAGAGGAAGGCTGCGTTCCCAATGACCCTCTAAGGTTTGATCAGTTATTCTGTGCCATGGGCTCTGTAGGTTTTAAATCTGGGCAGCACTACTGGGAGGTGGACGTGCACTGCTGCCCATCATGGGCTGTGGGAGTGGCTTACGGGAGCCTGCAGAGGAGAGGACGAGACAAAGCAGCCAAACTTGGACGGAACAGGTGCTCGTGGAGTCTTGAGTTTCAGGATGGGCATCTCATGGCCTGGCACAACGATCGACACGTGGCGCTACCCGTCACAGCAGCACGGGCAGCACCGAACAGGGTGGGGGTGTTTGTAAAATATCACAAGGGTCGTGTGGTGTTCTATGATGCTGAGACTATGAGAACGCTGCAGGAGTTTTCAGCAGTGCAAACAGCTGTGTTTGACAGAGCATATCATCATTTTATTGAGCCTCTCTACCCAGCTTTCCGCTTCTTCTTACCCAGAGACAAACCCACAGGCCATCATCATATGGAGATATGCGACCTCAGTCTTTAATATTGTTTGAATACACTAACGTTTGGCGTCGGTAAGATCTTTTTGTAATGTTTTTGAAAGTGGTCTCTTATACTCATGCTCTTAAGGCTGCATTTATTTGATCAATAAATACTGTAAAAATAGTAATAGTAATATTGTGTAATTTTGTTTAAAATAACTGTTTTCTATTTCAATATATTATAAAATCAAATGTAATTTATTTCTGTGATGGCAAAGCTGATTTTTTTTTTAGCAGCCATTATTCCAGTCTTCAGAAATCATTCTATTATGCTGATTTGATGCTCAAGAAACATTTATTATAATCAATGTTGAAAAAAAAATGTGATGTTTAATATTTTTGTGTAAAAAGTGATACATTATTTCCAGGATTCTCAGATGAATAGAAAGTAAAAAAAAAAAAAACACCAACTTTTGTACCATAAATGTCTACTGACACTTTTGATCAATTTTATGTCTGTGCTGTCTAAAAGTTTTAATTTCTTTAAAATAAATACAATCTTACAGACCCTAAAATTTTGAATGGTAGTGTATATTATACTTCTTAGATGCAGAACCACCTTTCTGAGCTTCAGTTATTAATAGTGCAAGCATACGATATGGCATGAACCAAAAAAGCAAGGTCATCTTAATAGAACAGTCTACTACTTTAAATCTTATGCTAAACAATATAGTCAAAACAGAGTAAAGTTAAATATTTAACCTTGTATTTGCAAAGAATTATGTTGTATTATGTTTACCTGTAATCAATATCCAGCAATAAACTCTTGACGGTAGGACTCTTGCCCTCCATATTCCGAAGCTTTATCGCCTCATGTAATCTGTGAATTTAAGAGAATTATTAATTCAATTGCAAAGCTAAAATATGGAGATATGCTTTTAATTGTACATTGCATTTGAAATGTTGTTTTATTGATGGGAAAACATCTTGACACTATATACTATTTACATTAAGTGCAAAGATCCCACTTTATATTAAGTGTCTTTAACTACTATGTACTAACATTTAAATCAAACATTTGATACACTCCAATTATTGTGTACTTGCACGTTTTTACATTGTACTTATATTTAGAAAATACCTGCATGTAATTACATCTGGTAAATCATTTCTGTAATAACATCTATAACTACACTGTTGACCCTTCTCTTACACCTTAACCATACCACCAAACCTGTCCCTAACCTTACCCGTATCCCACCAATAAGTACATTGTACTTAACTTTTTTAATGCAAGTACATAGTAGTTAAAGACACATAATATAAAAGTGTGACCAGTGCAAATAGTGATACATGCTTAAGTGTTAGCAGAAGTGTCATGGTATTTCAACAAATGGCCCTTGACTAAGCTACAGTGGGTGACGTTAGTGCAAAAAGCCTTTCCCACCAAGTTTGGCTATTTGCATTACCCAAGACTTTGGGTAAAAGTTTTCCATCCACAGGACCTACCGTGGCGTCCCTACGCAGAGAATTTTCTGGAAGCCTAACCCCAAGAGCAGATCCAGGAGGAAACGACAGCTCCGGTCTGCAAATAGATATTGTGCGTTACTCTTCTTGTTGTCCAGAGGACACAGAAGTAGACTGGGCCTTTTCAACCGCTGCACTGTGACGTCCTCAGAAAGTGATTTGTGTTTCGCGTGATTTGCCCATTCCCCAGGGAAGATCAACATCTGACAGTCCACACAGAACCTTCTCTGCTCCAGTGGCAGAGAAACAAACTCTCTAAATCTGTGAAAGAAACAAACACGTGCACGTATGAAAGAGTTTGGCAGGTCATCGTATCTAAGGAACTTTTGATATTTTACTGTGAGTTCATTAAAGATGGATATAAGCAGGTCTTTGTTGCAGCATAGCAGTGTTTAATCTTTAGAGTAATTTCTTTTACCAAAAACAGACATGGCAATATCTCACTTGATGAGTGTAACATGGCGTAAATGTTCAAATAAGTTAAAGGGAATTATTTACCTAGTGAAGTATTCCTGATGAGTGAAAAGAGGCATCTTGGAGCGGTTCTGCTCCTCTCTGGCAAGCATTCTTGCCTCTGATATCTGAAGCATGAATGAAATTCACCAAGTGATTGAACATGACATCAATCTACATGGCTGTCTACATGGCTTCTGTCGCCTGATTTATATTTTATACTTTTGAGCCAGTAAAAGGCTTTTTAGTATAATTATAAAAATGTTCAGAGGTCCACCTTCAGTGTCTTTTTGCTGTAGAATATTTAATGATTTCAATAAAGTAAACGTAAGAATAACTTGTAATAAACTAACCTTCTCGTCTGCCCACTGAAAAAAGTTGCAGTCTTTTCTATCTCGACAAGCAGAACACGCGTAAAATCTTCTTCTTTTTTCCTCTCCATGGGCAGTTTTCTCGAACAACAGCGCTGGTCCTGAGGAAATCACGTGTCAGTTATTATTAATTAATAATATTTTAGAATTAGAAAACTGACACGGCAGCAATATTATTACGATTTTTCTCGTACCATGTTGACACCGTGGTATTGTTTTGTCGCTTTCGTTTTGAATAATCACTTCTATTCCGCCGCTATCCACGACATCATCCAGTATTTTACCCATGGTTGCCAGAAACTTTCCGTATGAGAATCAACAAAACTCACATGCGTGACAGAAGGCTGCCATAGTAGACAACCCAATCTGTCGCACACATATGACGTCATGTATCGTCAACTAACTAATGCTGCGTTCCAGACAGCTCGGAATGTGGATTTTTACCACCTCGTTTTTGGAAATAACGTCGGACATTCGACCTGTGAACTCAGGGTACGTCAGCTATTTTCTAAGCGATTTTATGGTTGTTTTTGCCATATTTGACACAAAAACACGATATGCTCTCGTTGTGTCGTGGCGACATCATGTGGCCAACATGTGAACGTCACGTCTAATTGCCTGTAACCATAGACTGTAACATTTACATCCAACCACGTCTGGAATAAAAAAAAAAACCTTTATAATAAAAAAACCAGCATAAATGCTTTTTCACTGATGGCATAAAAACGGATTGTAAAATATTTTTATAGAGTTTTGTAAACCGTGGCACGAGATTATTGAGAATAAAAAAAAAACCATTTCACTTATATGAATTACTAAATTACTGATCTGGTCAACCCCTATGGGTCAACCTGAATCTTTTTTTTTAACTCTGATTTATTTTTAATTTAAATTTATTTTCTTTTATCTTATTCTTTTATCCACTTTGTTGTGACTGAGTTGTATATGTCTGTAAGATAAATCATAATTATGTGATGACTTTCAGTAATAATTATGACATAATATGTCATAATTTAGACGTTTCATTTAATAAATATTCCCAAAATTTTCTGTCAGTCAACCCCATTTGATCTAAAATATTTACTTTAAGAAACATCTGAGATTATAATTTAATATTTCAATATTTTAACAACACATTTGCATGTTCGCATCTATCTGATGTTGGTTAATGGCCTATAAAAAAAAGTATTTGATTGTTTGTAGAAAATCGCGAACAGCAGTTCGGGAAAGTCTGATCCAGCGCATCCTGTCCAGTAGGTGGCAGAAGAGTACCGTATAAATTTGTTTGCCAATCGTTATTAAAACAGAAGAAGGGTAATTGGATGGTGAACACCTGCTCCCAGGTTTGTATGTTCATAAAAAGATCTGAAGATCTGTTCTTGCATTGTTACTATTAGCATGGCTCCACGAAGAACTAGAAAAGTCAGTCAGGATTCTGAAGGTCTGCCTGATTATGACCAGAAGATTAGACTCACCAAAAGAAAGGAGCTGTTCATACAACAGTTTGAGAAGGAAGGTCAGTCATATATTAAAGCCAATACATAATCTTTCCTGCATATGTAATAATGAACCAGTTATTTTGCTTGCACCGAATCAGCTCAGGACCGGATTAATGAAATGGAGGCCAATCTGAACAAATTACTGGCAACTGTGGACCGAGTTTTCAAAATAGAGCTGATGAAAATGCCGCCCTCGCTCCACACCACGCTGATAAAAGACCTAATGAATGGTAAGACAGTTACACAGCATGTTTGTCCTGTCTGGACATTATTATTAATGTTACTTGTCTTTATAATCGGTGTGTGTGTTTTTTTAATAAAGATGATGACACGTCTGTGGGCGAGGTCACAATGGCACTGAAGGTAAAATGATTTTGCTGCCCTCTGTTGTTTGCTTAAATCTGGTGGTTGTATCCTTTCTTTCTTTTTTTTAGAGTGCGTCTCCTGAAATTCGGAAACCCCTATCTCGAAAGCCAAGCAAAAAAGGTTCAAGGCAACTTCTAGTCACGTTTTTAAAGTCAGCTTTTATTGGTTTTAGGTTAACAGGCATTCTTTTTAGGTTTAAATGCCACAGCAGGGTCATCGGGTCAAATCAAGACCACTCTAGTGGATGGTATAAAGGTACTGACCTTCCATTTGCTTTGTCCTCTTTGTGGGTGCCTAATTGAAAATTTATGTATGAGCTTTCTCATAACAGAAACCTGTGAAGAAGACCCTGCACAACAGTAACAGCACTGGAAGTCTGAGGTAAAGCTTTCATTTCATTGAAATCCTCTGGTGGTCTTCGGTCACTTTTGACAATTTGTTTTGAGTTTAATTGGAATGGTACTAGAACTTTCTTTTGCACCTGCTGAAAAAAAGTTGTGGACATGATTTGAAAACACTGAATGGTCTTGAATGGCAAATGTTTATAAAATACTAAATGCAGAGCAGTTTTTGGGAATACTTAAGCCACTAGGGAATACACTGCCCTTTATTTACTTATATTATATAAATAAATGCTCCATACTTTAGAGGTGAATATTGTGTATTAGTATGAAATACAATGAAATATTAAAACTAAATAGTACATTTTCATTTAAAAAAAAAAGTAATCTTATTGTCTTTGTTCTTGACTGCCGAGGATCACAATTGTGATCTCTAAGTGAGGAATACCAGAGGGTTAAATAATTGTCAATGGAATATTCCTAATGGTCAAATATAGTGGAGAGCTCCCATTTGGATTTCTCTTTACTCTCACTGACAGGTCTCTCTCAACTATCAGTGCAAAAAGAACCCAAGGACGGGTTGTCAAACTCGGTGACCAAGCGTTTGGTTTAGGGGGTAAATTTAGGTAAAGTTTCCTTTCTTGCATGGTTGTACCAGTGTATTTCTTTTCAGATGTGCATTTTCACTAAAAATGCTGCTTTTCTTTTGACGAACAGACAAGCAAGTCGCTCTGTTGGTGATGAAATGATGGCTACAGCCACAATAGTAACTTCCCATGGAGAAGTGAGTGAGTATGTACGAACCGTTGCAAAGTTTTTGCTTATTATAGCTTTCAACAATGGTCCTTTTCTGCATTTTTAAGACACTGCTACTTTCTGAGGACAATAAAGATGACATCAGTGTTGAGTTGCTCGATGATGCGGCTGTAGATCAGATGCGAAAGATCAAGGTAAACCATTTAAAAACTTCGTCATTTTAAGTGGTTGCTTAAAGAAACAGTGGAAATTTAGCATAACCAGAAGTTTGACCTCTTTATTGCAGGACCTAATGGACTATCTTTGTAAAAAAGTGGGGCTCAATAACACATGCTGATGAGTTTTAATCCGATCAGTTGGAGCCAGTGTTTTAATAATGTTTAAATGTAAATCAATAAATAAATAATTGTAAAGAGATGCAATAAAGTGATTTGCTTATTATTTTGTCTGGTATGCAGTGTGATTTGTATGCAAATGTGTAAAGACTGATAGAGGATGCCATAAATGGTTAATACTAGATGGTGTTAGTTTGCTTGTGCATATTGTCCTGTTGTGAAGTTTCTCAGCACTGAGGTGATTTATAGTAAACTTAATTTAAAAAAAAAACAGGACCCCCCCCCCCCCCCCCCCTCTTTTATTGTGGCTAGCCTAAGGCACACCTGTGCAATAATCATGCTGTCTAATCCGCATCTTGATATGCCACACCTGTGAGGTGGATGGATTATCTCGGCAAAGAAGTGCTCGCTAACACAGATTTAGACAGATTTGTGAACAATATTTGAGAGAATTAGGCCTTTTGTGTACATAGAGAAAGTCTTAGATCTTTGAGTTCAGAGGGGTATTGTACAAAAGTAGAATTAAGAAAGCCAGGATAACAGGCCAGTCCCGGCTTGACCTAGTTTAATCAGTGCATCCTGGCTTAATCCGTTGCACGTTTGCTGAGCCAGGATGAGAACGCGCGGATATGTCAAGCCAGGTGTATATAGTTTGGATAAATGCGCGTTCACGGCATTCTTTAAAACATCACAAAACCGATCACAGAATCACCGATCCGAAAATGGACAAAACGCGTGCGGCATAGGCTACTTTTCGCCTAATGAGCAACAGCTTCTTATGGAAACGTATGAAGAAGTGAAACATATAATATGTAAAAAAGGCAATACAGCTGCTGTAATAAAATAAAGAGAGAATGCATGGCAAACAATAGCAGACCGATTGAATGCGTAAGTGTCCAAATAACCAGTGCTCCACTGAAACCCTCATAATTACAATTCAAGGAGTTACTTGTCATTTTCAAAAATAATTGTATACTTTGCATTAAATGTGACCAGTGAACATGCATTTAACATGAAGAATAATTGCAAACACTTACCCACTATGTGTATCTATTTAGTTTATTTTATGTCTATTATCTCTTTTATCTTTTTACTCTTATCTATTTGTATGTATAGGTTTCCGCAGCCTGATAAGCAGCCTGGTAACATAGTGAGTATTTCCTAAAGTAAATTTACATTATGCCAAAATTCTGCTATGCTAACTAAAAGGTGTTCACAGAATTCACAAACTGTCAGATATATCTACACAACGCATCTTAAGAGACAGATCGAGCTGACAGAAGTCAAGATTGATGTGAACAAAAGAAAGCTGGAGGACATGGACCTTGAGATGCAAATTAAACACAAGACACTGAGGAAACTAGAACTGGAAATCCAGAAACTAGAAAGAGAAGTAAGTGACTTCAGTTAATATTGTAACCATGACTGTAACACAATGTATTAATCTTTTTTTTTTTTTTTTTTTCTCCAAAGCTCCAAGCTGACAAGTGATAACAGCAAAATAATAAAAGAAAAATATTCCAAAACCATTGTGGTCTTGTAACTTTTTTTTATGAATGTCAAGTATACACTTTATATTTATTGATCCAGTGAAGTGGAACTAGAATTTGGGAAGATAACCACAGTGTGTGCTACCGATTCCAAATAAAATGCATGTACACATGAAAAAGTTATATAGCCTACATTATCCTTTATTAAGAGGTGGGCTAAATCAAAACTAAATTAACTGAAATCATTTGCAATGTAAAAAACATTCCCAGAGTTGCTTTGGATGTTGATTGGGACAATGCTGCCATATTCCCAGATAACAGAAATGGTAGTCTTGTTAGAGAACAAGACTACCATTTCTCTTATCTGGGAATATGGCAGCATTGTCCCAATCAACATCCAAAGCAACTCTGGGAATATTTTTTCTCATTCAACAGTACATTTCTACTCTATACTTGCATGCATAGATATACATAGTCTATATTCTATTTCTCATATTGTATAGTATTGTTCTTTTGCACTGTGTTGGCATTCATTGTGGACAGAAAAGTTATAATTGCTCAGGTAAATCTGCTTGCCTCACTGGGTGTATGACAATACGCTTT